TTCCAAATAATGAAGGTTGATAGGGTAAGACACTGGTGTTTCTATTATTATTATCATCTTTATTATTACTATTTCCTCTCAAGTGTAGTCTGTGCTTTGGCACTAGGAGACAATTTCCATAACTGTAAATTTACAGAAAAAGTGTGGAATGGGATATGCTCTAAGTTAATAAACTCAGACATTTTGGTTGTGTAGAAGGACACAGGCTGCATGAATTGCATCTTAATTTAATTGGTGGAACTGGTGATTGGACATAAAGACAAGAAACAAACCTTTGTCTACTTTAACTGTTCCAATCTCTTTTCATTTAGTAATTTTCTTTCTGTTTTTAATTTTGTGTAAGTAGCAACATACCACTGGTGAACTCTTAATGTTTTAAAACCACTGCAATGAGTTTACAGTGTATACAGGATGCGTTCATTTGGGGTTTTGTGCAGTGAAAGCACATTCTCTGTGAACAACATGAAAAACTTGACAAAAATCTCAGCTAACAGGGGTTTTTTTGTCATATTTGGTTGGGTGTCTCTCAGATTGCCTAATGCTAAGGCACGTTAGGGTATGTAATTTGAACATTGTTTGGTATTTAGCAGTGGGCTTCTAAACAGCAATGTGATCAACTTTTCAAAAGGCTGAATTCAGTAGTGGGTTGTGTTACTTGCAGAGTAGGTGCTACAGTGGTTTTGGACATACTTAAGGGTGGAACAAATGCTGTAAACAAGGAAGGTCAGTCTGCTTCTTAAAAGGAATTTGAGATAGAATGTGAGAATGGTAGAGGTAAGGAGCAATGAAATGTGGATATTGTTGCATTTTTAACTTGATTCACAACTTACAGTGTCCCACCTTTTATCCATTTCCACAGCCTTACGACAGCTTGCCTACCTCACAGACTTGTTTCTTTCAACTGAGGCTCCCACCCTACTCCAGTCAAGTAATCATGGCAGAGCGTTTGCGCTATGCAATCAATAATTGCAGGTCTATAGACATGGACAATTACATGCTCTCCCGGAATGTGGACAATGCAGAGGGCTCAGACACAGATTATTAACATTCTGTGAACAAAATCATCTTCCTTTTACTACAAATAGTGCCCTAAGTCCAATTCATCGTTGACATAATTTTACAGTAACCATAGATGTTTTAGGAGCATAAAACCAGATCTTAATAGATGATGGCCACACTTTAGTTACTCTAAATGTAACAAAAAATTAGATGTTTTTATTTTTTTGTGATTGTAAAAAAGGAAAAACAAAACAAAAAACTATGATCGGTAAGTTTTTTCTCCTTTTTTGGTCACTTTTGATAAGTTTGCATGGAGACATTTTGGTGCATTTTTGTTGGGAATAGTACATTTGTAAGCCCTCCCAGTGAACATGAAGAGTTGTACATTGTGTATAATTGTTCATTAGCCAGAACAGTTTTACATGAATATTCACATATTTATTTTGTTTCAATTTGAATTGCCTGTGCAGGGTTCTTTCTGCAGAGAAAAATAAAGCAAATTCAAGACTCGGTTGCTTGTATGCATTTGTGAACTGTGGTTGGCTTACTCAGGCTTCATACTTTGATATTTTGTCTCAGGAAATTACAGTCTTACAGTGTTGAGACAGGGTGTGACATTTAAAGCCTCTTAAAATGTTTAGCCTGCTGGACTGTGCTGTGCAGCCCCATGCTCTGCCTTCTCCTGGCCTGAGGCCCTGGCTGCTTGGGTGCACTGCTGTTCATTCCTTGTGCTGCAATACAAGTTCATGCTGGGCTTGCTTCCTTCTTGCTTTTTGTTTAAACATTTTGCTCCTCCGTAGTAATTGTTGGCAGTAACAGCATGCTGCCACCCTGATTCAGAAAACTTTAAATATTTTGAGCAAAATAGTAATATTTTTAATGGACACATTGATGTAGTTGATTCCTGCTCGGAGTACACAAAAATTAAAATGGAAGGGACAGGGTAGTAGTCAAGGTTGTGGGTTTTATTCACATTTTTAGTTCTGCCTTTGGTCTCATTTTGTCTCAGCTGTAACTATTGTGATCAGCATGGTTTGAGTGACACAGTGATGGATGTTCCTGTTTGGTTGGGACAGCAGTACTGCACGTGGAGACCTCTGCTCTGTGCCTTAGGGAAGTGCTGGACAATTGGTAATTGCCCATTGTCTGTGTGAAAGACATCACTGATGTCAAGCTACAAACACTGCTTGGTGTTCAGAGCAGGATGTACCTGGGGAGGGAGAAGGGGAGAGGCTGTCCCTAGGTGAGTCAGAGCTGCTCTGCTTCCGTTCCCCTTTGCTCCATTTCTTCCTCCCTCAACTCCTTGGGAAGATGCTTTGGGAACTGAGGGCTGGTGAAAATTATTATTAGTGTCATTCTCACCTGGGGCAAGACTGGTCCATCTGAGTGTGGAGTGTAGGGTAGAAATTCCTGGTACTTTCTCTCATGTGTCTGTTGTACATTAACAAGGATTGATTGGGAAATTTCCTGGCTGTCCAAGACTGAGCTGCTGTATTGCTGCCAGCTGGCACTGCGCAGAGGGAGGGCTTGGTAAGCTGTGAAAATTTGCATATCTGGGTTTTATCTGGTGAAGTTCTCTCAGGGCTGTATGTGGGCTCTTGAAAAAGGCAAAAGCCTAGCTGTGATCAAAGACCACTGCAGAGTGAATTATTTCAGGGGGATCAGGAGCTGGGGGAGGGAGGGTCTCACAGCTCTGGAACCATGCAGACTTGGTTTCCTGCCTTACTGTCTGTTAGGTTTCAGACTGGACTGAGATGTTGGTGTCCCATCACTGTGTTGTGAGGATGTATAGTCACATCTTGGCCTAAATGTGTAGGTTTAATAGGTAAAAAATACAGTATTTAAATAAATGGGGAAACAGCTATATTAAGTCCTGTATTATTGCATTCTACACTTCATGGATGTGTCTTAGTGGCACTGATTTGTCAGCCTGTTTCAATCAGCACAGGAAATATTAGAACTGTGCCTAAAAATGGGAGTTTTATGAGGACTGTGCTGTTAGCTTTCTGGATAATGAAGATCTTTTTGGAGGCAGTTTACAATAAAATCACAGGGGATGTTGATTAAAGGTTTGTGCTTGATGGAACTTTAATGGCTTGGAACTAAAGAAAACCGTAGACACGTTTCCATCCTTCCATAGTACCCTAAGTAAAATGTTGTCATTTTCTATACTCTATTTTCAGATTGGATTGTGAAGTAAGAAAATTCATTATTGATGCTGAAAAAAATGTAGCAATACAGTAGTGTTCAGATTTTACCATGTCATGAACAAATATCCCCATTCAAGGAGGGGATGAACAAAGTAATAAGTTAGAGCATTGTTAAACAAATAGGGAAAGAAATCAAGTGGAGAGTGTTTGAAGACCCTTTTTAGCTCTATAAAAGAAAATTAAAAAACAAAACAAACCACAAACCCCACAAAGTACCCTGCCCCTCCTCCCCCCCACCAAGTCCTGGTAGAAAACTGGCAAAAAGGCTTATGTAATATGTAAACAGATGCAAATGTGCTTTCATATCTTGTAGCTACTTGCTAATCTGTTCCTGTTACAACTACAGAGATGTCTTTCACCACAGAGTGCTGGGAGAGCTGGTGGCACGAGGAGGCCTTTGCTTGCTGCAGTGACTGTACAAGTTCATGCCTTGTTTTGGCTTGTCAGCAGTGTGTGGAGCTGTTGTAGTGTATCCAAGGTACAAGTTGTGTCTGCTTCCCAATTTCCACATCACAGTAAATTTGTTCAGCTCAGCAATGTCCTTTCATAGCTGTCAGTGCTGGGTGAGGATTGCTGTGTCTCCTTATCTGCACTTCTTCCAGTTTTCTTCCTTACCTTGTGGTGCATAAGGGCCCTACTTGAACTTTAGGAAGGAGTTAATGAAATCCCACTTTTACAGTGTCATGCTGTTAAATATCTCTAAGTAATGAAGGTGGAATAATTTCGTTTCCTCGTTGGTTTTCTGGGTGAGTGTTTCTTACAGATGCTCATACTGATCAAGTATTTCTCTAGAATTGCAGTATTGTTTGACTAAGTTGCTGTAATGCTCTGATTTATTTCTTACCTCAGCCAGATTAGAGAGTACCAAGTATATCTGTGGATCAGTTAACCAGGATCAGAAGGCAAAGTAAGTATATTCAGTTATGTTGAGAGCTGTAAAGTCCTCTTTGGTGTCAAATTTTGTAGATGGTGGCACAGCATCAAAAGTATGTAAAAAAAGTTTCACTTCCAGGTAGCAGAGCAGTGTGCAGGAAGGGGACATCCTTGTGCTTTGGGATGAAAATAGCTTCTGGTTCTGGACTTTGCAGTGAGAAATGGGTATTTATATGCAGCTGGTCTGTACTGTGTTCCTTATTTAGCATTAAAAGACAGGCTGTTAGTCACTGTCTTCTCTTGTGGGTTAGTTCTCTGAATTAGCACTTGTTCAGATTGCACTTCCTTTAAAGTCAGCTTTAAAAAATAATTTGGTGCATCTTTTTTTATGTAAGTACATCATACAGAGGGTCAAACTTGTTTTGTGTGCCTTGAATCCACGCTTCTCTCATTAAATAAAAAAGCCTGGTAAATTAGCTGCCACTGTTAATCACCAAGGAAGTGCTGGTGGTCAGTACTCTGCTTTTGCTAGGAAGATGTTTCAGGGAGGGGTTATCCTCCTTAGTGGATGGAATGACTGTCAGGTAATACCCTTTAACAGAAGTTTGTATATCACTCTTGTCCTAAAATTTGTGAAAATCCTCCAGTGACTCAGGCTCTCTCTGCTGTGGCTTTATTGCCATTACATAAGGAGTTTTGAAAGTGTAGGGTCCAGTTTGAACCTCGTGACCCAGAGGGAGGCTCTTCCTTAATGTTGTGTACTCAGGTCCCTGTGTGACTCATTGTGCCTCAGTTCACTCTGTCTGTGTTTCTTCCATGCAGTCAGTGAACCTTGCTGTCAAACTTACTGCACTATTAAACTGTCTTAAAAGTTCCTAAAATTTATTGAACTCTATCAAATTATTTGGCCTCAATAAACACACTGCTGCTTCCCTCTTCTGAGTGAGGTCATCTGCAGCACGAGGGTACCAGAACTGCAGTTTTCAGCAGATCTGGCATTTTGTGACAGCAATGCAGGGTTTCCCAGTTTCAAGGAACAACAGAGAGCAGTTATTTCCTGAAGCCCATCCAGGAGGAGATGCATGTCTTTTCCCTTTTCAAAACAAAAATTTGTTTGGACTTGACCAGAACCCGTGGAAGTAGCAACAGTTCATTGCTACCTCAGTGAGGTAAAATACCAACACCTTAAAGCTGAACCAATTTTCTTGATGCTTTTTCAAGCATCAGCTTTTTTCCTGGTTTGCTGTCTGGGATCATGTTAGCACTTCTGTCTGCTCTCAGCATCACTGAAGGACACTTCTCCCTGACTCTCTCTAGCCCAGCCTGTGTTACATTGCGGCAGAAATCCACGTGGAGCCTTCGCAGCGATGCTCCATGGAGGGTCACAGCCTCCAGGGTGTGGTCAGTGATCTGCACACAGTTCTCCAGCTTGAGGCTCTTCAGGTTTGGGCAGTTCTTGAGAAGCTGCAAAATGCAGTCATCTGTAACATGGCCACATCCAGAGAGGGTCAGAGACAGCAGGTTTGGACATCTGAAAGCAGGATGGTGACAGGTGAGATGGGAGAAATAAATCATAGAGCTTGCAGAAGCAAATAACATCAATAATAAATATGAAGGCTGAAAAAATGCCTCCTCTTCATCAGGAGGGGCAAGGAGGCACAAGTAGGTGAGTGTACATGTAGATCTTAACGTTCAGCTTAACTAAAGGCAAAGCTCACTTAGCTTTTTCTGTTGGTAGCAACATCTCTAGCTCAGCTGGCACAGTGGCATGTGGAGGCCTGTTTAAGCTGTGGCTGCATCATTTTTTCTTAAGGAGTTGGATGGTGCTGTGCTTCTCCAGGCACAGACAGAGGAGACCCAGCAGAGAGGAGATTAATTTCAGGATGAAGTGGAGGACAACTGAGAGAAGAGACTGCTGTGCAGACATGCTAAGCATGAGCAAGTAAGGCACTCCCACTCTTCATTTTTAGGAATTGCAGATATATTTTATCTCCTTGGATTTCCTGAAGCCAGCTGCTTCCTAGAAAGTGTTCAGTGTTCAAGCCCCACTCAGCTCTTAAACTTTCCTTTGAGTCACTGAAACTGGTAATTCTGTTGTTATAAACAATGATGCAGCAAATGAAAAAAGCTTTTTCTTGCTGCTTGAGTAGGCCTGGGGAAGTAGAGGAAAGGCCTGTCCCCAGTGGGGTGTTGGTGCTGTGCTGAGCAGGCTCTGTGCAGCAGCCTGCAATCATGTGCCATGTCTGCTCCTGGCTCAGCCCCCTCTGCAGGCAGCAGCAGTTCAGCATCCACCGAGCTGAACAGAGCATCACACACAGGTCTGTGTTAGTGCTGCTCTTGTGAGGCCTCTGGACAGAATTTTTTTAAACTCTTTTCTGTTAGGAGCAGTTGGAGGAAGAAGTTGGCAGCAGTCAAGAAAGGCTTGAACAGAATAAAACTACTTTAAACTCAGGAAGAAAAGCTGGATATTCAGTTTGCATTTTTCTTTTTACACAGTGCTAGGAATTTTGACTGGAAATGCTTTCAATGGGTTGCAGTAAAAATAGATAGGACCTTGTATTATCCTTTCTAGGCACAGGTATGCTGATTCCTCCTTAATTCAGATTTTTATCTAATTGTTCTAGAACGTTTACTTCAGAAATCTGGCACTTGCAATTTAATTTGTTTTGAAGCTGTTTTTCAGTCCTTATTTTGAGATTGCACTGCTGCTGGCTCTCTCCTGTCACTAGCCCATAATTTTGTCAGTTGTTTCAAAGCTGAGGGCTGTGGCACAGGTGCACCATGTCAGGGAAGCACTGCCACAGCCCCTTGGCTCTGCTTTGGGACCAAGCCAGCCCTGATGTTCCCCACACACAGAGGGAATAGCTCTACCCTGTGAGCCTCCTTCTGTCACTGCTCTGCTCCTTCCTCAGAGCTGTCTTGCAGCAGCAGAGCTGTGAAGGAAAAGCTGTGCACCCAGAGCTGCTTTTCTGTGGTGCCATTTCTCTTCCCTCACTGCAGTTTAGAAGCAGCTGGGAGTTTAAACTTCAGACTGAACTACAGCTGACACTTAGTAACATGTTAATTGACCTTGGTTGTAATGAGGTGTGTTCATTGTTTGAAATCTGGGCTCTACTCCAGGCACCCCCCAGACACTGCCAGAATGGTGTAGTTCAGCTGAGCAGCACTGTGAGAGGCAGGAATGCACTTTCCCATATTAATAATGAATTCTTAGAAAAAAAAGAAGGAAAACATAGACTTAAGGGAGATCTAAAGGAAGTACACACTATTATGTAAAATGAACTTACACTACAGTTGTAAAGGCAAAGCACTCATGTACTTCATGCTCCATTTCAGGCAGGGGTTATGGAGTATTGGAAATAACTCTGACTTCACTCATCTCAAGGCAGTTACTGCACACTCACACCCACAGAACGTACCTGTTGCAAACGTCTAGTAAAAAATCACTGACAGTGTTCTCATGCCTCTTACAGAAGTCTTTCTGGAAACTGTTTTTCATCCAGTCCTCAATGTTACACACCTTGACTCTCTCTGAATACCAGCAGATGGATAAGTGTTTTAAAGCAGGTCCCAGGAGAAAATTATCCTTCTTTAGTTCCACTGGAGAATGAAAGTTCAACAAAGACCACAGTAAAGGATCCTGAAACACTTCTAGTAACTTGTGACATGTTTTTGCCAGATTTTTCCTACTGTTTTTGTCCAGAAAAGAGAAGAGATGTAGAAGGCATTCCCGGTTGAGCTGGGTTATGTGCATTGCCCAGCAGCAGTGGCAGAGTGTCTTGGCTGGGTGGAGTAATAGCAGTGCTGGAGGGGGTTCACACTCACCAGGAGGCTGTTGCACATATATGGTTGTGGAATGGGGTTTATTTTTGGCTAACAACTGGTGCAGAAGCTCAGAACAGGGAAAGGAACAGAACCATGTACGTAGCTTGTGCTTCCTTTGTCCAAGGGAATGGAATGGGCATGTACAACTTGACTGTCATGAAATGCTTCCTTAAAAGGGATTTTCCCCCCCGCCTTGTAGGCTCTGCTGGAGTTTAGCAAAGTTCTTGTGCTGAGTTACTGCAGTGGGGTGGGGCTGTAGCTGCAGCTGCTGGGCGTATCTCTGTCAGTGCTTCCCATTCGGGAGATTTGGCTGAGCACCACTTTGGTTTGGCAGAGTACACTTGGCTCTCTGTTTGTTCATTGATTTTTCTGAGGTTGCACATTTGGTCCATGTTCAAGGACTGTCACATGGATAATGGAACTTTCATAAAGTTTTTTAGAAGGAGCTGAAGCAGTCTCTGGGTGCCTTGAAGCACACACACGGTCTGCAGTTCAGTTCACAGGCCCCAGAGGTAGGGACAGTTTCCTGCCCACAGTTATTTGAGGCTGAGCTGTGATTCCATAAACAAAGCTGGCTGTGTCCCCACCTTCTGCAGGAGGGAGGCAATGACACAGAGGCAGCCATGCATGGCAACAGCAAGGCTAAGTTTAGTTCCTTGTGGGCTTGTGCTTTTAATAGATGTCTTCTACTGGCTCGAGTTTTACAAGTTTGGCTGTTCTGGTTTTGTAGGTTTAGTTCCATTACCACAGAAATATTTTTCCCACCCTTTGGTGGAATAAGGAGATATGAAAGTGGTTTTCCAGGTAAAAGTATCTGTTGTACAGAAATTGGAGAAAGTGTAGCAGAAAGTTGTTCCTAGAAGAAAAATAAAGCTACAGCAAGGGCAGGTTGGAATTAAATGCAGTAAGCATCCCTTTAATTTTCCAGCTTGTGAATCAAAAGCACTTGAGATGAAGGTATTTGTAGTAACTTTCTGCCTGATGTTAATACAAGAGAATAAATACATTCAAGAAATCCATAAAAAGTTACAGCAAACAGCACTGGGGGAGTTTTTCAAGTGGCCTGCACGCAAATAGTAGCTGGGAAACTTTATGGCATTTTAATTAGGAGTGTTTTAATATAGGACAAGGTTGAGTGGGACTCAATTTTACCTCCTCCTTCACACCCCAAGAATGCAGTTTAAAATTCAACTCTGAAAAACAAGATCTGAAATTTGTTTGTAGTCTGCAACAGTCATAGCCTGAGGAAGTGCTTGAGTAATGTGTCTGAACACAGCCAGCATACACAGAGAAATGGCAATTCTTTCTGCTTCATTCTTTAGTTAGTAACTTTTACTATATACAGTAAGCTGTGTTTAACAATTGCCAGTCTTCTTGGTTTTATATCCTTTGTCATTTAATCTTATCTTTGAAATTATAAGGAGATTACTGTTCCCTCTCCCCCTGTCAGAAACAGCTCTGCTCAATGCCACAAAAGGGACAAGAAGAGTTCACATCCCAGGTAATGCAGTTTACTGAAAACAGCAGCTGTAAAGATGTGCCTGCAGGTGTTCTTCATTGTTATATTAGCATTTTCAAATCTCAATTACTTACCTTTGTTTTTGAGCAGGTTTAAACAGGTGAGACTTCTCAGAGTTATACATACAGGAATACGATTTTAAAAAATACTAATTAAGAAACCCTCCAAATTAACAACAAATCAACAATCTAGCAAAGCTGAATGACAAGGATGTTAGGATGGACTCTTGCCAGACAGAGGGGACACACCACAATCTGACACAAAAATTAACAGCAGTTGGGTGACAAGGAATTTAAGATGGAATGGCAGGTCCTCTTTGGGGTTAGGTGCTAAATTTGGGAGAGGTGTTACAGAGTTAAGAACACTGCAATTGCTTTATTTTGTTTTTCCCAGAGCAAGGTACAGTATTCTGCCATTTGTGTTCAGAGGACATACACCAATGTTCTGCAAGCCTGTAGAAGGACAAGGGATTTCATTTTCTAAGGAAAGGAGACACTTTAATGGCACATTTTCCATAAACACACTATGTGATGAGATATAATTCACATTCATCCTGGAAATGCTCCAGAAACACACAAGATGAGCACAGTCAGTAATCCTCACTGAAAATTACACACAAGATTTTAATGGTAAACAATTACAACTATGGCACTACAGTACTTGAGAATATCCTAAAGCACGTTGGAATCAGTTGTCAAGGTGCCCATTACCTCATCAGTAAGACACAGACACATCAGTAATGAAACATTGCTGGGGGAATTTAACACCATGTGTTCACTTCCCACTGATTTAGTAAATTCATCATAAATGGCCTCCTGTTTTTCATACAAGTCCACTATCCCTTCCTGTCTCAAACTTTTAAACTCTCTTGCTGACATTTAGGAGCTGGACATTTTGCTGTTTAGATTGACATAAATATTGGCTCCAGTTGTATACGTGGCTAAACAATCAGTAACAAAAGGACAACCTTTGATTGGACACATTTTGGTGAAAAAGATGCAAGTCTTTGAACTGTAGAGAGCAGTTGCTGCTTGCAGAGCAGTCTCAAGCAAGAAAAAAACTTCTTGCCAGCTAGTGTGTACTATGATGAGCAGTAAGTAGAAAAAACATTTGGCTTAAATGAAAGAGATATTCCCCCCCACAAGCGAGTAGATAAATACAGGATATACAAGCTAGGTTAAAAAGGTAATACTAGGCCAGGTGCAGTATTATGTTACTGGTTCAGTGCTCAGTTACTTTTTTTTTCGACACCACACTGAATAGAATACAGTGGATAAGCAAAGTTCTCCACCAGGAAGAGAAATACTTGTGTTGCCACAACAAACTGTTCATACTGCCCATCTGAGTTTGCAATGGGAGAAAATTAAATTAGGAAAGGATTTACAATGTACTTGTTCCAGCAAAGCATATGGCTGAGTCCTGAGCAGCACCTGCTGCAAGCAAGGACAGCCTGCTGTGATTGCATCGTTTCCCCAGAGCTGGGAACACCACTGCCCAGGGGCTGCGTGGGACACAGCACATGGGACTGAGAGAAAATGCTCAAGTCAGAGCATAACTCTGACCCAAACAACTGCTGACAAGAAGAAGTCGATTAAAAGAAGTGAATGTTGCTGAAGATTACAAATTTAAATTTCTAAAAATACAGAAAGGCACATTTACATCACTGTTTTGCAAGAACACTGCATACACCTGACTACTGTAAGTTAAACTGCTGCTGGCCCAGAGAGAGTCGTGTATTTTAAGCTTGGCATTCTCAAAGGTAAATTCTAAAGAAAGCTGGTCCAAGCAGCATGCAGAGAAAACACAGCTAGAGGTGGCATCTGTGCAGCTCCCTGTGAGCAGCAGGAATGGCAGGAATGTGGTACAATGCTTTACCTGCTCTGTTTTCTGCTTGTCTAAGTATCAGCAACCTATTCTCGTTGATTAGAAGAAAGACTGCCTGTAAGGAAGGGAAGGTGACAAACTATCTACTTAAAGAAATGACAAGTTCTAGTTACTGTTCAACTTAAGTAAAAGCATCCTTATAAATATGTCACTGTATCAAGTAACGCTATAGTCTTAACCTGTGTGCACACTTCAAAACCCATTAGCTATGCTCAACCATTTCTGCAGCTTTGGATAAAGCCAATTTCTCCCTTTTCTGGTTTAAGCTGCTGTGACAAAGCTCCCAAGAATGGGCCTGTACCAAATGCCTGACTCCAATTTGTCCTTGTCCTAGCCTGTGAACAGCCAGCAGGACCCTAGGGCAAGGCACTGCTGTGCACTCCCTGTGCCCCGGGCTGCTCTGGGCTCCACTCCAGCCTCCCCGCCTGTGCCCTTCAGGGGCATTAGCTAGAACAGGACTCCCACTTGGAGTTTTCAGACAACTGCATTTCCTAGTTAAGTAAGAGCTGCTGTTTGGTGGTGGGACTCTCCATGAACTGTAGTCTCCTCTTACTGAGCTTTCAGGAGCATCCAGCTCCTTGCTTGGTACAAGAGAGCCAGCTAGAAAGGAGAGACTGAGGGAACAGATCTGAAATGCAACAGTTCTCAAATGTCATGTTTTCTGTCAGATTCCTGGCTTTGGCAGTAGTGGTTTTCCTGTCTGCCTTTCCCTTCTCAGTAGCTGACTTCCACGCATCAGCAGTAGAGCTAAAACTGGTTTGGGTTTTTTTAGCATAGTCTTTCTCTGTTACGTAGCCAGGTCTTAGAAACTGCATCATGACTCCATTGGTCACCTGGAGACTGAAAAAAATGCCACCCTGGGCGAGTGTGTAAAGGCCACAGGAGCTCTCTGAACCTGCTCCAGTCACAAGCACACTTAGCACTTCCCCTGTGAGGGCTCTGCTGTGAGAGACTGAGCATCCTTCCTTGAGTTTCACTTGAACTGATAGAACAATTTCATGCAAAGCACCTGCAACACCATCTGTCTCCTCCTGCTTGCAAGCGAACTGTAGCCATGGAGCAGAGCTGCATGCAGAGCTGCATTTAGACCCACTCCTGTTCTCACAAACCCCAGCCCTTGGGGCCAATTCCCACTAGGAACTACGGGCTTCTACTTGGGATTCTACTGCCAGGAAGTCGCCCCAGTTTTCAAACACGTAAGTGTTCATGATCCAATTTCAGGATGACAGTCTAACCCAAGAGATGTCAAATAGAATTCAGGTTCAGTTATAAAACCATAAAGGGCAAAGTAATTTAGACAGGTAAAGAGAATTGTTTTAAATTTGCAGGGGGTAGGGGGCAGCATATCTGAGCAGTACTGTAATTAAATTGCAGTATTTATACAATTGAACCAACTGTTTATTTACAATGATTCCTGACAGTCACCAGCCTGAATACACCAATATAGCAGCAATTACCTGGTCTATTTAATGATGTTATATTGCCTCTCTTCTGCAGACAAAGGATGATTGGTCAGAGGTCACCAGTTAAGTCTCTTGCACGAGGGAAACAGTTGTACGTGCAAACAATTCCTTGATTTAAAGAGATTAAGTCATATCTACATAACAGGACTGCGAACAGCATGAAGTTGTATTGCTTTTCATGATCAAAAGCACATTTATCTTGCTTGTAAAGAGGACAGAGAATTTTTGATGTAAATGTGCCTTTAGAAAGTGAGAACTGAAAACATTAATATAAAAAAGTCAAATAACTATTTCATGAAACTATATATATAAAAATTGAGTTATCACAACTAAAGCAGCAAATCAAAATCTGCTGAGGTTTTCTGGTATAACTAAAAAAAAAAGTTAGTTTGTGTCCAAGTTCAGTAAGTCAAATGCTACCATTGACACAACAAAACAAAAACCCACAAGAGGAAATTGCAAAGTGCACAATGAAATTAATAAGTCTCGGATCAAGTATTTATGGAAAAATGGAAATGTTTGTCCGGTGGACTTGATAAGTAAGAATGCAAAGGAGGTATTAAAGTTTCTCTGCTCCAGGCTTGGCTTGGCGCTCCACGTAGAAGAGGATGTAGGCCTTGGCCTTGCCCACGGTCTCCTCGTCAGTCAGGGTTACAGTACTGTCATTGAAGTGGAACCAGCGGCCCTCGTGCGCCGCGTACGCCGTGTAGTGGCCGGAACCAACGCTGTGGAGCAGGCACAGGGACAGCAGTCAGGGACACTCTCACTGAGGCACCTTCTCCTGGGGCTAAGGGACTGCCTGCAGGAAGGTACCCACAGCCCTGCACAGCACATGCTTCTCTTTTTGAGCAGCGGGGCCCCAAGAACACATTGTCTTGTCCCTTCTACTGTTACTCTCAACAGATCTGTCCAGGGCTGGGGAAAGTTAAAAGACTTCTAGTAACTTTACTTCAAAATATGCCCAGTGCCTTCCCTGGCTGTTCCTGTGAGCCTTCACTGCTGTGGCAGGAAAGGTAATGGTGATGATCTCTTTCACCATACACATGCTCATACACTTCTTTAACATAAAGGCAAATGTACCTTCCAACATGAATAAAAACAGGAAAAAATAGTCCTGTTTTGTAGTAAGAATTTCAGAATGAGACATTAATTCCTGGAAGGCTCCCTGACTCCTCCTCTTGGTTTAGGGCTTTTTTATTTGTAGAGGCATGAGACTATTTTCATTTAATCTCACACATTAACCCCAAAGTCTGCCAGGGGGCATTCACAGGCTTGACTATCTATTGAAATTAATTCAGCTTAGCTCCCTGCCAGCTTATAAACTATGGCTTATTTCCCTCAATTAAAACACATGCCCATGGGACAGAAACCCCTTCATTCTGTCTGCATGTCCCTGAGTGGGAAAAGGTGTGTGCCAGCAGGCCAGGCTGGCTCCATGTACTCACCCTGAGCCGTGATGCACAACCACAGCCACGAGGTCATACAGGCAGCTCTCTGGGCCGCTGTTTTCAGGCTGTGGTAGGAAAAAACAGAAACTCTTCAAGTATCAGTAGCACCCTGGAATTTGTAATAAAGACATATGCCATGGAACAAATTCCTTGCAGGAGGCATCAGGAGGTCTGCTTACCTCTAACAAGTAGCATTTCATGTCTAGGCCTCGCAAGGGAAACTCAACATATGTATCAACCTTGTTCCTCAGATATGCTGTCCAGTGAAAGCGTTTCAAGTGTAAGCATAGCACCTGCAGGGGGACAGTTATAAAAGGTGTGTTAGAGGAGGGGGCTGAACTCCATTCTGGACACTGCAGTGGGGAGGAAGAGGTCTTGGTTGAACCATTATTTCCTTTGACATTTTGTCACACTGTTATTTCTAATGCTTATACAAACCTTTGGTAGTTTCTGAATCCAGAATTTTTTGGTGGACTTCTGTTTCTTTTTGCATTTGTGGCACATGTACAGCTCTGTCTCATCAAGTTCTTCCAGGTCTGTAAAACTGCGAAGACAATCTAGAAAAAGCAGATACATCAAGTGGTTTTTGTAACATGAAATACAACAAATACAGCAATATAGGTGTGCTCATCTGCTGCACCCATTCTAGTTATAGCCATCTGAGCAGCAAAAAAGCTGTATAATGTTTAATACAATAAAGTGTTGTAACATGCAACCTTCCCTTTTCCTGAAAGCAGCTAGAGTTTGAAAGAAACAAACATGCATTCCCAAAATCTCCATCTTCCAACAAGATTCCATCTAACATTCAGAAAAAAACTGCTTTCAAACAAAGATAAATTATTTTCTAACATAGAATAGCCAGCTTTTAAAACCTGTTTGGCTTTAGATACAAAATGAACAGATACAACAACAGGGTTTTGTTGAATATTTCATGATTTTCAGCAAGTCCATTCACACATCTGTAAAAAACTAACATCCTGTAAAAACCAAAGTCAGTAACAGTGCTGCTGCCCAACCTGCAGGACTGCATTGATGTGGTTTAAATGCAGAATCCCCAAGAGCCACCCTCACTGTGGGCATGGGCAGATGTGTCCGAGGACAGAGCCCCAGAGAACACCCATAGGCAACAGTACAGATCAGTGTCTGGGAGGAGTGAACTACATTGGAAATGCTCTGCTGAGAAAGAAAATCCTCTTGGGCCTGCTATGATTTCATTAGCCAGGCACTCTTACCTCGTAGCGTGCACATTGGTCCACCCTCTTGGTTTTTAGTACGTTTATTTCTGAACTGACTTGGAATATCTAGCGAAAGGTCTAGAAAAGCAATGATTTAAAAACAGAATTAGGGTTGAACAGAGCAATGAACAACAGCCTGGTCTTTTCAGGCTGACACGCTGGGTCTGTCATGTGACATCTAAATATATCAAGCTTCAGATTTAATTTTCTGCTCTAAGTCACACGGTATTTGGAACACAAGAGGCAGCATCTTACCTAGGAATGGGTCAAACTTTCTAGATTCAGTCCCACATATTAGGCAGTTGACTTCATTTTGAAGAATGCCTCCGAAAATGGCAGTGACGACAGTAGACGCTCCATTTCTAGACAAACCACATCAGAGAAGTACAGTCACCCAGAAAGTCTGAGCTGAATCCCCAGCACTGTCCCGTGTTTGGTGCTCACACCTCCTGCTGTTGGGCCGAGCCAATGAAACAGGGACTGGGTGCTCCAGGCAGAACGGGCACTGCAGCTGCCCAGGGGCACATCACATGAATGTAGTGCCTACACTGCTTTATCCTGGGCCTACAGAAAGGGTGACCTGGGGGGCTCTAAGCACATGCTCAGACTGAAAGTGTTGTGCATATTTCTATAGTCGAGCTGTACTGGATGCTCACACAGGTCCAGGATTTTAACCCTGTAATTAAGACTTCATTTGAAACAAAAATTCTTTCTTTGGTAGGTCAAGCATATTTTTGTTTTAACTCTACACCCTTTCCTACATGTGCTTTTGACTTCTTTGAGCACATTTCTGCACTTCACTGCCAACAGCAGCTTAAGTTGCATTAAGACATGATAAACAATGTGCAAGATCAGCATTGTTCTCTAATCTTTCATTACTCTCCTACTGAATATTTCAGCAGATTATGTAATGGGCCTGCTTCTCACAGTCCAATTTAAAAAACACACAAATTTTAAGTTATGTTATTATACACTACTAAGGCTTGCAGAAACCTGTGTTCCTTGCCCGCACTCAACCCACATCTTTCCAGCTCATCTCAATGCTTCCTGAGCAAGAGGAAATAGCTGCTCACAGGGACTGGTGCACAAGAAGAGAGCATTCACAGCCTATTTGTTACTTCACTGGAAGCGTTAAAGTGCCCTCACAAGAAGGGCAGTCTACCCCATTGAACAGCCTTTCTCAAGACAAATTTACATCAGATAGGTGAACAAAGGTTAAATTCTCCTGGGATTTTGACATCCAAAATACTGACAAAACAAAATCAGTTTAGATTTCAAATATATGTCAATCCTACAAACATTTTAAGATTCTTCTGGGGGATTTTAAAGCATCAGCAACACGACATAAATGCAGTAAAGAGCACAGTCTGAATTTTGTTAGGCTTTCCCTAATAAAGCATCTATAAAACCCTGCATCTCAGGCCTGCTTACTCTGTCCTAATGAGTACAGAAGGAAAAACTCAAACTCTAGTTTTCTGTAGGGAATTAAGGACTTAGGGACCAAATGTGCAGGCTAATCTGACATCTTTCCTTCCTGAAGCAAAATAAGGTTTTGTGTCTTGTGTGAGTTTCGACCTAAGAGAAAACACAGCTAGGACAGAGGTCAGAAAAAACAGTATTTTGAGAAATACAGAAAGAGGAGTCAACACCCAAATTACACCTGTTTCAAGGGACACAGGAGCATGAAAACCAAAATTATGCACAAAAAAAAGCACCAACTGTAACTGTCAAGTGATACATGAGATCATCTGCTGGAAAACTGACTGCAAGCAATAACTGTACTACTCAGTCATTTATCCAGGAGGTCTACTCACAATTTAAACATCCATTGTTTTTGCTCCTGCAGCATTGAGGCTATCTATCACCCTAAGAAAATTATATTGTCTGGGGAGAAGAAAGAATTCTGTGGGCTATAGAAAATACAGTTTATTTCTGAAAGACTAGTGAATTAAAATGTCTTTACAACTTAGCCTGTATGCTCACTCACACCTATGAAAACTGCTGATCTAAGACACTTCCTTTTGAAAGGACACAGATTGTACAGAATCTTCATAACCTACAGTTTTGTACTGCCTAAAGTCAGAAGCACTGAAGAAAACTTAAAACAAGGAACACAAATTCCAGAGCCACCACATGCAGACCTATGCAAAGCCATGAAGGCTTTGAAGAAATTAAAAACCACTTCTTACATGCAACATTTATTGCTTCCAGACAGGTTAGAATTTTCTTGCAAGATTACTGAACGTGAAACACCGTTGAAGCCACCCTGGAGTTCCAGGTGTAGATGGTCCAAAAGGTAACGCATGAACTCGTGGGCATCCTGCTGCTGGTATCCCCTGAAGAGAAAAGGAAACAATAACAAAATTGCTTTAGAGGCAACATACAGCAAGCACCAGGGTCACAGGAATAAAACCTTTGCTTCTTTAATCCTACTGAGCAGACTTTCCATATGTGCTTGGCTCCAGTCTCACATGTGCTGTGCCCTCAGCAGCAATGTTGCTCAATCACCATTATTATTTCATCACTAAGAAACCTTACCAAAAAGAACAGAGAAGACATCAGGGTAAAACACGCCTTTGAAGTTATTTAAGCTGAATCATGCATCAAATTCAACAAACAGCTGCTGTTCACTTGCCATTAAGCTGCACACTGAGACAAAGCGTGACAAGATAGGTAGTGAAACACTGAAAGCTTTGTGCAACACTGACCTAAGTATGTGCAAGTCATTGTGGGCCCAAGCTACAGAAATCTCTACACAGCCAGAGCTGGCTTTCCCTCCACCTCCTGTCTGTTCTCATAAGCTGCTTTATCAGGCCTCCCCTTTTCCACCTCACTACCCCGCCTAAGTGCTGGCAATAACTGTCAGGTAGGAATGTCTGGGAGAGAAATATAAATGGGTATATAAATGTGAGTGCTCAGGGGAGGGAAAAATCCTGTAAGATCCGTGGCAGAGTACCCAGAAGGGGAGAGAAGAGCTAACAGACTCAGTGCAACAGAAATATGCAATGTGAGGCTGATTTGCTTTATGAGGAACATAGATGTGTCCAATGAGAGCATTGCTAAGAGATAACAGAACAAAACCAAAAAATGTTCACTTTGTAGGATTACAGTAATGCTTTCCTCCAAACCAGCAGCTTTAAAATAAATCAAGGAGTCTGTATACAGACACATGGGCAGCACTGCCTACCTTTTACATAGAAAATCCAGCACCCAGAAACACTGCTGTGCTTCAACAGGCCACAGTCTGTACACCAAGGCAGGACTTACTGTCCCAAAGTTGCAAAGTAATTATATGTTTGTTAAAACTGCTGGCATTAAACTTCCTTGATTCTCATAAGCTAAATGAAAGATAACTAATTGTATGAAGAACAGAATAAACAGATTTGTGTTGTTTGGGTAATTCACTGAACAGATGTATTCACAGTATCTTTTTAGCAGGGCTAGAGATATAACAGGTAAGAGGACATTTTATTATGTGAGAACATGGAGCAATTGCAGTGGTTTGGTTCACTAATCTGAGTTTTTCGGTTAATACACCAATTAATGTGGTGGGTTTAGCACTGGCCAAATGCCAATGTACTCATTAGAATTATTTATTCATTCCTTTGCTGCAAGATAAGGATTAGGAGGAGAGCAAAGCAGACTCAAAACTTTAAAGGGCATAAAGAAATCTTTATTAACCCAACTAAAAGAAAAATATTAAGAAACCGGAATAAACCTTCAGAACACTTCTCCTCCCTCCAACTCTTCTTTCCTCTCTGACAATATAAAGAGACAAAATGTGGTATTTTCAGTCAGTTTATTACTTTTAAAATAATCTTCCTCCAGTTTACTTAGGGAGAGGAGCCTTTCTTGCCATGTCATGGAGATCTTTTCACAAGAAACAGTTCTTTCATGGTTTTAATTTTCACTAATAGCAGCCACCTGGAAATTTACAATTGTGAAGTCTCTCCTACATTTGGTAGAGTTCACAACTATTACCATGGGTCATTTCAGTTCATTGGGGTGCAATTTTAAGGATGAGCTGTTCTAGTACAGAGACAAAAGTTTTCTTTATCTATTTTTGGGAAACAGAGGTCTCTTATTCTATCCCTGGGGCAAGGTTCTTCATCTCTTTAAATACTCTCTAAATTTTTCATCAAATTACAGCTCCTTCAACATCTGCTTGCTTTAGTATTGGTGCTCCTGCTCATGGCTGTGGTTAGAACACTACATCTCTCCAAGGCATTTTATGAGTTATAGGGAAAAAGAGTCTGATGTATTAATTAGATCTCCATTACAGCTTTAAAAGAAACCTTTTTAAAAGAGAATTTTAGCTTAAGACTAAGGCTTTTTTTCCCTCATTTGGGCTTTGGCTCTTTTTTCTTATCAATATTGGTTTCTTTATGTTGTTCTTTTTATGTGCTTTTAATTTTCTTTTCTTATATTTGGGAGAAGTGGCGCTGGCAGGTTTCTTTGTTTTTAAATGGAATTTTATAGCACTGAATGAGTTAATTTTATTTGGGCTTTGCACTAGGAAATGGCTTTTTGTTGTTGGTCGCATGGTTTCTGCCAGGCAGTGGCCAAAGAGGCTCACAGCATTGCTTTCAGCTGTTTCTGTGCTTCTGAATTGGGATTATGTTGTTAATGGTGATTTCAGAGGCATATTTCACTTTTTTAAGTGGTTTAACAGGGTGTCAATATTTAAAATTAGCTAGCTGATTGGTTTTGTCGGGTCCAAAGGAAGCTGTTAAGGTTTTTATAGGGAATTACTTCCATAGTTGGTGGATTTTTTCCTTAACTAAAAACCAAACTATGGTAAACTACAACAGCAACTTACCTTCATCACAATATATCCTAACAGGTTTCAGTGCTCCTTTGAAAGAGGTTCAGGGGTCAAGACAGGGAGACCTTCCAGAGGAACCATACTTGGGTTTACTTGAGTAACCTTCTTTACCACTTTCTCTCTATCGTCTGTTCTGTAAGTATGGGCCCAAAATGCTTATTATGCACAGAATTTTTCTCTTCTACTCCTTATATCATGTCCAGCTGGTGACTGCTGTATTTTGAGAGAATCAAGGAAGTTTCAGCCAGTATGTTTGCATTTAGACCTGTAGGTGCTGTATCTATCAATCTGACTACATCATTTTCTTACTGCAGCCAAGCCTGGGTTCAGTCAACACCCTGCACTTGGCACTTACCAACCAGCCAATAGCTTGATTCCTCTGGAGCACTGGCTCCAAGGTACAACTACCACTGTTTCTGTTGTGAGATCTTATTCTCTCTGAAACTGCTACATGTGGCAGAAGGAAAAAGCAAGCACTACTGATGAACAGAAAACTCTTGATCAAAGCAAAGATCCTTTTCAAAGCACATCTGTAGGGATATGGAAAGCTACACAGAGTGCATCCTGTGGATGCAGTCCATTTTAGAGTAGGATACCAGTGATATGTGGTTGCAATCAAGAATACTGTTATTTTTTTAAAAAACTTACCTAAAATTTGGCATTATTTTCCAAACAACGTAAAATAAAGACTCTGGACTAAATGCAGTTTGGCTTCCTTGCCATAAAGCACAGAGTGTCTTTCTGAATTCTTCCACAAGTGAACTGTAAAGAAAGTAAGAGCTGGTGTTTAATGTGCGTTTGTTTACAACCCTTAGAGGTTTACTTGTTCAATGGTACAAGTATCAGACATTAGCTGGGTTAAGACTGTAACAGCTGGGTAAATATCCTTTCCAGTAGCTTCAAAGATTTTATGTCCAAAATCCTACCCACAATTGTTGAAGGCACACAGATTTGGAAAATTATATTTCAGATGTTCAGGATGGACTCATGTGAACACCTATGCACTGTCTGGCATTTTAGTGCAGACTGCTAACATCCTTTTAACACTTGCTCAAGCAACCTACAGATCATCAATCACTTACTCCTGAACTTTCTGTAGTAGAAGTTGCAGTAGGTTGACTTGCAGTCACATCCTCACACCCTATTTTAGCTGGAAGTCAGGAGCACGTCTGCAGCACATATCAAGAGGACTCTTAACATGATTTAGCATGTCACACTCCAGCACTACCTGATGTATCTGACTGCCTCTCCCTGCAGCATCAGACCTGTAACAGCAAGCTGCAAGTGATACGAGTTTCTCTCTTTGCAGACAACTATTCCTCTGTGCCCTTGTCCCCTGTGAATTGTGCAAGATCAAAAGTGGCCCCAGCAGACCAAACTTGCTGTTTCCTGCACAGCTAAGAGCTCACAAGGCACACACAGCTTACACATTGTTATCCCCCTGGCTCCTGGTGTGGTAAGTTCGCCGCCCTGCCGTCTTCCCATTCCTCAGCTCCACTGCAGGCAACTCTTTGAAGTAACAGCAAAACTGCTGAATGTTACTAGGAAAAACGAAATAAGAAAGAAATCCTTAAAGGGCAGAGAAAAAGGATAATATTATGTATTCTAGAGCTTGTTCTTTGAAAAGCATAAACACCACTTCATACGGTGATACAGGATGGCAATCGCAAACAGTTCAAGAGACAAGAAACACTACAGCAAACACCTTCTGTCAGTAGCTGCACAGATCTGCAAGTATCACTGTCATCCCAGCTTCCTAAAATAATTACATTTTGGCTCTGCTTTGACCAAGAGATGCCCTGTCAGACTGAGCTATCATTTCCTAACAACCCAGACTTGCATTTGCTGAGGAAGGTAACTTATTTTACTGGCCTTGGCACTCTCCTGGTCTGCCAGGGACATGGCACGTTTCCTCTGGAATGCTGTACCACAGGATGTGCCTCACACCATGAAACACAACTTTATCAACCCATGCACACCCACCCCTGCAAATTCAGATTCACTTCTGTCCAGTGGGAACATGCCAAATTCACCTGCCCAATGTACAGCACACAAGCCCCCTGAGAGTGGTGGGAGAGCTGGGGAAAGTACCTGAGTGACTGAAGGATTGCATTCATGAAACAAGTGTTCCCCAGGTTCCGAAGGCCTGTGGCACAAAGGGCAGTGGTGCTTCCCTAGAATGAGAACAGGGAGGTTACAGAAACATTTATCACTGCTCCACCACTTCCCTCCTGCACAGCCAGCACTGTCGGATCAAGCACAGATCTGAACAACAACAACTACACTGAGTGCAGCTGCAAAGCTAAAGCAACCCCTCAGCAGCAGCTTAAACTGCCCTGAAGCTCCATCTTGACATGAAAACTTTCTTACTCATTCCTATCAAGAGGAAACTGTACTACATATTTTCCTGTGCAAATAAATCTAGAATAGGACAACACAGTTAATCACAGACTCTTATTGCCAAGGATTTGTGTGTGTGTGTAGGTATGTTACATATTCACACTCCAATAGTGTTCAGTGAACTGGACAGCAATTTCCTACAGTGCCTTTGAAAAATTAAAGTACCAATCCTCATCCATGTTTTCCCATGTCTAATATGCACAGTACGGCCACCTCCAGGTTGTTTTTAAGTCACCAGTGTGAGTCTCAGTGGGATTCTGTGGTGGCCAGAAGGGTTTTTGAAAGACAAGACAACAGCATTTATTTGGGAAATAAACAGTCAAGTTAGACTGTGCAAATAAGAGGAAAAAAGAGAAACAAAATACACATCATTTACAGCCTAGAACAATGAACCCACAGATGTGCCTGCTTTTCATCAAATTATCTCCAGGGTGGGTGGGGAGGAAAGGGAAGAAAAATGTGGACAACACTGCATATCTGATTCTAGAATCTGCAACATTTGGACACATTCCACTGTCCACAAAATACCACACTGGAAGTTCATCAAATTTCTGGGCATTCTTCATTATTCTAACAGAATTTAAAAGCTGGGCTTTTAAATCTTTTAGTGTCTCAAAGTGCACACACCACAGCGTCCTGAGCACATTCTTTTCTCTCTTGCCTCAAGTGCTACAGCACAGCACTGATGCAGCATTGCCTCTGCAGTTCAAGGTAAGCTTCAAGAAGCCAACAATAAAAAAGAACCTGTTGTTAGAGGCAATATTGAAGTATTAATAAAACTGACAAAACAGCAAAGAGTAGGAAGAATAAAATAAGCATTTAGTTCAAGCTTTCTAAGTCTGTCTTGTCCTTATCTAAACGTTGTCTGGAATTTTTCTTTTGGTTTTTACTGGCTTTCAGTTTTCCAAACAGAAATGATGCCATAGCAAGAAAGCCCCACTATTTCTCCTACGCTTCCTCAATCTCTGCAAGACTGGGACAGTGCAGGAAGTGCAGACAGCACATTCAGACAACGCTAAACTGACTGTAGTAGTGCATCTTTTAAAGTAACTAAACCCCTCCAGACTTTGCCAACAGCAACCAACTGCTGTGCTCCACCCCAGGATCCCCTTGGGCAGTTGTTCCTATGGCTGAAGGAGCTGCTGTTCCAGCTGCTTTTGGTGACACTGCTGTCCCACAGCCCAAAAGCTCTGCTCCATCTCTCCCCCATTTTCCCAAGGGTGAAAATGAACCAGTTGAATACAGCTGGGTCAGTATCTCCCCTCTCCATCCTCAAATTCTGGAAGAAATTATGAAAACTGCTGTAATCCAATCTGCACAAAAGAGACATCTGACTTGCAACATTCTTTATTTGGAAGAAATTATGCAGCCCTTCAGCCATCTAGCCAGGGCTGGATCCTCCTCTCCTGGGTGCTATCCTGCAGATCTGAAGTTAAAATAGCAGGAAGATGAAATGAGGAGAAGAAAAGCTTAAAAACAGTCCAGAGTTCCTCTTGAACGCAAGTTTTCTGAGCTCTTTTAAAAAACTGGTAACATTTTTTACTTTTTCCTAACAATTACTCTTAGCTTCCCTCAAGAATGTACCTCCTCCTTTGCCTTCTGCACCTGGGACAATAAAAATCCAAAAAAACCAGAAAACAACAAAAGCTCCTTATTTGCTCAGAAAACCAAAGCTCTGTCTTGACATGAAACCCTTCTAAAGCCCAGGCAGGCTCAGTCTACATCAGCAGAAATGCAGCAGAGCATCAGCCACGTTTCTGTGTGAAAGGGCTTCTCAGGTGTGTGGCCAGAAGATGCTAAAGAGCACCAAGAACAATTTGGGTCTAGGCCAACCATAAACCTCAGCAGGTTTACAAAAGCCCTTTAAACTCACTGTACCAGATCTATTGTACTTACATTTACTTTCAATAACTTGCTGTTCAGAGATGAGTTTTCCAATAGTTTTCTTTTCCTATGTCTGTCTGATGTAAAGGCTGAACTGTTGGAAAACAATTATAAGTGGTTATTTACCAGAAAAACAAAGTATCGTGTGGAATGGACCAGAGAAAATCAACTCATGTTTAACAAAGTGATTCCACCTGTCACCAGTTGTCACTGACAGCAAACAGGCTCCCCATTGCTGCAGTATGAAATTGGCTGCACCTCCCTCAGGGCACAGCCCATCAGTAAGTTTATGTAGGATGCTCTGCTCAGGGATGTGTGCCTTCTAGAGTGGCCTTAGTAGCAGCTACTTGTCATCTAAAATACTCATCCTTCTTCTAGGTCAAAGAAATTAAGTTCTTCTGTCAAGAAAATCATCTAAGCCTTTAAAAATACAACTTAAAAAAAAATCACAACAAAATTAAGTTACCAAAAAATCAAGAATTTGTGGAATGTTAGTACTTGTGTATTATAACTGACTTCCCTTACTTAAAGAAAAATACATGAAGTTCTAACATTTGTGCAATACTAAGTTACAAAAAAAATTGCTTAGTCTTTTGCACATCAATGGAAATTAATGGCCCCTCAATTAAACCAGTTGATGACTTCTCTTTAATTTGATGCTGTAATCATAGCTTGTTTCAAGGTTTGGTTGGTAGGTTTTTTCCTTTTCCTTTCTTTTTTATTAAAATGCCCTCCAAGCATTCAAAAAGTACCATTACACAGAATGGAAGCCTGCACTGTATATTTTCCCTCCCAAGAAGTTACATGGCTTGCATGTTTCCAATTCACTTCTCATTATACTTAAACATCTTTACATCTCATAATGTACCTGACAAGACCATCAAAAGAGGATGGAAAATAATGAAAATATTAATATAACCTACCAAGTAATTGATATACTTAGCTCAGGGAAGATCCAGAGATTTCCCCAGATCACAGGAATTTCGTAGCAGGAGTCCTGTGTGAGCTCAGGGGCATTCTGATGTTCATGGAAGCACTGAATGCACCCATATTTCTGCATGGCATTAGGTAAGATTTTCAGGCCAACTGTGCAAGCACTTTTTGCTCTCTAGGACTGGCCACAGCACATACATCACCCAGGATCAGATTATCTGCTTTACAGTGGAACAGCACCAGACAGAGACAAAGGAAAAAATGTCTCTCCTGTGCACTTCCAAGTTCATAAGTCTTCCTAATCTTTTTGCTAGCAAATCAAACTGTACAATTAATATGAAGACTACTTCCACCTGCACTTATTGAATTTCTCTGATAAAAAAAACTTATTCTGGTTTTTTGACAAAATTCTGACAACAGAACAAGAGATACGATCATGATCAATCAAATCCATTTGTTCTGCACCTCTGCTTCTCAGTGATGAAAAGGTTTTTAAACACAGTGTCAGATACACAGAAGGATTAAGACAGATGTAATTAGATACATATACACATATGAAACAAATACCACTTCAATGATGCACTGTTACAGGTGTGCCCAAGGCAGTCTGGGTGCAAACAAACTACTCACTTTTCCAAGTTCTGTAGGTGCTCTCTGACCTTCTGTACCAGGCCCAGCTTGGTATCATTGACTACAAAATCATCACAACGATAACTGCAAGAAAAACATTTTTCAGAATATGCAAAGCACCTCAGTGAAACAGATCAAACCACACAAGCCTATGTGTGGAAAGCACCAAAGGGATCCAGTGAAAGATTATGAGAACTGGGGAGCACAACACCTCACACTGAGCTTGGTTCCCTCCAAGAAACCCCCTCCAGCAGAAGAGGGTACAGGAACCACCTTATTACATGGGTTTTCTGCTAGTTTAGTTCTTTATTATAAATCAAAAGCATGATGTACTGCCTGGCCCAAGGCAGAATTCTAGTTCAACTAAAACTGAAATAATGTAAGGAAAAGCAGACTTAGTAGTCTATCCACAGATTCAGCAGAAAAGATCAACTGACCCCTAGTAAAGAGAATACAAAGCTTTTATTAATTTTTAAACTATTTTAACATTGTAAGTTATCACTGAAACCTGAAGTGCTGAACAGATATATACAAAACATAAAAGTCTGTGCTACTGAAAAAACACCAGGGAAGATGATGGACTAAGAGATCACTTGAGTGTTCCAAAGTCAGTCCAGAAGTCTGTGGCAACTTGCACCTCATGCTTAACCACAAATATCATTCAATCACTCATCAGTTTCTGTACATACTGGGAAGTGTCAAATTACAGCTTCAAATTTTGGCAGGCAAGTGAACAAGTGAAGAAAACTAACTTTGGATATATTTAATATCAGAACTGTAGCTATGTCTCTCTCCCTTTGGCACAAGAATTACTCAAACACAAAATACATCATCATCATCACCTCAGGCTATTCCTCTGCTGGAGCACATACACATTTGCTTCCTAATTCAATGAAGCTACTGACTTCAGGCACAACTGGAATTCACAACACTCTTTGTTGCATAAATCTGCAGGTATTGCCAGTGTTACTACGAACTCTACATTCTTGAAAAGGCTACAGAGTTGAGAAAGTAAAGGTCCTTGCCACTGAATGGAGCCCCTAAGATCAGTGTGTTCAGTACCTCTGATTTTTCCCTCTAAGAAGAGAAATTAATCTGATGCCTCTCAAGACAGTCAAACACTGCACGCAGCAGTTACGGTGTGGCAGCAGCTCTCTGGCCACAGACAGAAAACACAGCTTCCCCAGGCATTGTCCTGGGCAAGGCTGTGAGAAGACCAGAGAAAAGAATTATAAACAAATCTTATCTTCACTTGCTGCACCTGCTGTTGTGAACATGTGGAATGTGTTAGGGAGATTTGTTTACCAAAGGATGGTTTCTTAATTGGCCAGTGGTGGTGGTGTTTGGATTGAAGGACCAATTGGCTCCATCTGTATCCTGACTGTCTGTAAGGGCAATGGGTTTCCTAATAAGTACAGTAAAATAAAGTGATTGATCAGCCTTCTGGAATCATGGAGTCAATGCTAATTACTACCCAGATGGGGGCCTGTGACAACATTATGGGTACTTACACAAGATCTAGAAATTAGTAAGATAACCAGTATTTCTTCTTTTACATTTTTAAAGATGGCCACAGACCAAGTTAGTTTGGGAGGGAGAAGAAGTCTGTTAATGTGCTTATTTTTCAGCCACATCCTAGGTAGTCCTTGCCAGCTTTTTCAGCTACCTACAAAGACCTGGTGAGGTGCTCCTGCATTTGGCACTCCCACAGGAGCCAGCTCTCAGGCCCAGTTAGCCAATACCCAGTGTGGGACTGCTGAGCAGGGGCAGCTGCACCAGCACAGCCACACTGCCACTAAAGCTGGAGTAGCTACTCTTGAGAAAACAGGGCATGGAAGCAGGTACAAGCTCACTGAAACCTTCAATGAGAACTTATTGCTGAAAGATAATTTCATTGCTCCCATGCCCTGAAGATTACATTAACCTTATTTTTACACACCACTTTAGTACAGGCCTCAAGATGGAAGAATAAAAACAAATACATCAGTAAATGTCAGGGTCCTTCCAACACTGGAAAAGTAATTTAAAGTTTCACTTAGAATCAAGACAATCTTCTATTTCTCTTTTTAGTAGACAGATTTTTTTAAAAACCTCTCTTGCAACACTGAGGATTCAGCACTACTATTAGAAATAACAGCATTATCTCCAAACTATTTTGGATAAACCAAGTAAACAGATTTAGAAGTAGTTAATGTTTTAGTAACTTAAATTTGCTAAGCCCACACACCTTAAGGGTAAACTGCTGAGAAATTACATCCTATATGTGAAGCTGCCATTCAAAACAGCTGCTTAATTTATGATCCTCAGGATTATTGCAAATTAACAAATACCTTTTTTGGATACAGCAGCTACAGCAACGACACAGAACAAATTCTATACCTTGCAGAGGGTCCCTTATATGGCTTGGCACAGTATTTTCCTCTATACACTCTATTTTTAGTACCTCTGCTACTTCCAAGACCTAGCCTCCTTTGCTTCTAAAATGGCATTAAGCCAGTGAATGTATGCACTGCTCTGGGAACATGAGTGCTCAATGCTGTTACAGGGCTTAGGAGGGACAGAACTTCATGCTGTGTTTAAAAGCCCTGACTAGATTTGAAGAATAAGAAAAATTAAGAAAACATTTCCTTAGTTATACCAACACCTTACGTGAATCAACAAAGAGCTCAGGTTTTACTGTCTGGATAAAAGGCTTTTTACTCTTCTTATTTTCACTGATTGTAGAATGCAAAATAATAGAACTAAGCAACCTCATTTTCCAATGCTCATGGCACCAGCACAGTAAGTCTGGTTTGTTTTTTAAAGAGAACCCTCTTCACAGAGACTAAAAAAGAACTCTTCTAAGTCCTTGACAGTTGGTTATTTTTACACCAGCCAGGAACACACACACACATACCCCTGACACAGCTGTGTCCCTTTAAGGGGTAACAAGGAGGGTAATGGATGAGAAATCTGACCTGCAAACTGTGTCTGGGATTAAATGAACACAGGAAACATATTATGCAAATATATCAACAGGGGAGCCTTTCTTCTTCAGTGCCAACTGTCTGTGCACTAGCACAGAGAAAACCAATTTACAAGAGTCCTCTTTCAGGAAAGTGGGGCTCTTACATGTATCATTTTACTTCTCATGCACAAAAAAAGCCCTAACACAGAATGAGAAAGCACCCTCGGACAGTTTGAAGACAAAAAAGATCTGTACTTCTTGCAAACTCTTTGTGTGTAGTACTTTAGAACTAACTGAAAGGCTGAGTACCTCCAAAAAGTGGGATTCAGGACTCTCTCAGCAGTTAAGGTCTCAAATATAATTTAGTCTGAGTGTTTAGTATTGCACCTTTGTCTCAAAAGCGACCAAAGAATCAAGAAGAGAGCTGTAATCTGGTAACAAAATATTAACAAATTCTCTCAACTTTTCCAATGGTAAAACTGAGTGTTTTTGCAGTTGAATAGGAGGACTGAGCAAGCAAAGAACAAAACCCTCTGCAAAGACTGCATTACAGGTTATGGCATGGCCAAAGGAAGGCAAAGGACCAAATGCTGCCTTCTCAGAAAGCCCATACAGGCCTGTTCACCGATACCATCATGCAAGCCAAGGAACACAGTAAACTGGGATCCATAAGATAAAAATGGAGTAAGAGCATCATGCTCAACTTTGTGCAGTAAACAGAACTGCACACAAAAATATAAAAGCCAGCACTGCATCAAAATATTTGCATTATTTGTATAGTAGAAATAAAATTCAATTAAGTCTTAGGATGGTATTTTATTGACTTTCAAATTATTGAGGCAGCCCACCCTGGTAGCATAAAATATTCATCTTTACATAAAGGTTCACTTAAAAGAACCACCATGGCATAAACTCAGGACTGCCTACTGGATTCATGTCTACCCTGCAGTTCACAAATAGGCTTTTCAAAGCTATTGAAAGCCCATTCACTCCCCACAAAACCTAATTATGTCTCAAATTTAGCCAACTATTAGCTTTAACTGGCAGCAGCCTCCACAGTACTGTCCAAAATAAAGGGGGAAAAGTTGATCTGGATGCCTTCTGTTTCATCTTTAAACGTCTGTGCTCATTTCAACTGGGCACAGTAACAAATTCAAGTATCCTTCCCTGATTATCATGTGGGAAAAACCTGAAATATCCTAAATGAAAGCAAAGATAAACTGCTTTTAAAATTTGTTCACCTTCACATTAGCACGGGAGTTATAATTTGCTGGTGAATTACCTACACTACACAACAGGAACTCCCCAAGGCAAAGCTGGCTACAATTAGTTCCAGTTCATCCACAGATGACTCAGCCCTCGAGTACAGCACAAGAGACATGACATGCTGCACTGCTTCCCCTCTGTGCTCCCACAAACACTCAGCTCCCCAGGTGCAGGGCTGGGGTCAGTAGCACATCCCACAGCCCCCAGTCTGGCTGCTGGCATTCTGCAATGCCCACACACGGTTTGGGATAAGGTCAGCAGGGTGCTCAGGCCTGCTGCTGTAACTCACCAAGCCTCAGCAAGTTTGGAACACTATTTGTCATAATGGAGATATAATCAAAGACTTCAAATACCCTGCTAAAGTTCTTCCACAGATTATTACCTTCAGAATGACTGGAAGACAGGGTATAATTCAAACAAAACAAAAAGCCACAACAGAGAACTCAGCTGCTAGCAGTATTGATTGGGAAAGTGAAACCAGCTTCTCATAGCTGTTGCCATGCTGGTAACCTGTGCAAATTTACCCCTTGGAAAACTTGTCTGTTTTCTCAAGTATTCACACAGGAGCAGATAAAAATGCCAGTGATTAAAATAAAATGCAAATAAAGCAAAATTCCCCTACATCACAAAGCTACTCAAACCTTTAGTCTATGCTTAAATACCTACAGCTGATTCCACCATCTAAGGAGTTTTTGAGTTGCTCTGAACAACATTTCTTCAGGTGAAATCACATAACTGGGGTTTTACTTGCAGGGGATAAAAATATTTGTTACAGAAGCATTCCTCATAAAACTACTTCATAAAACAGACTTTTTTTCCTTAATGAACTACCCAAAAGACACCCAACTATTTGAATAAAATACCCATTAGAGCAGCCACCTATCCAGTAATTCTACAAGACCATAACAGGGATTTCCCTGAGATTTACACTGCTCAAATCCTGCTCTGCCATACTGCACAAGTAACAACACATGGGAAACCATGGGGCAGCTGCAAATGGGGAAGCACCTGTCAACAGGTCTGCTGAAGGGGAAAGAGGATGGAGGATGCTGAGGCAAAAAGCAGAGCTTTCCACTGACTCCCAGTCTTTGCCCTCTGGGAACAAGGACCATGGGGAATGCAACATTAGCAGCATCAATATTAAGTTTCCCTAAACAATGCATATCACACTGCAAGAATCCCACAGAAGGAATCAGCCCAGGCCACTGTGCTGTTTAAAGAAACATTTCTGATTGCTTTCCTTACTCTTGCTAGAGACTTGATGCTGCTTCCCAACAGGATCAGCCACTTTCCCAGACTCACAGAAAGTACAGGCACAAACACAACTCGAGTTCAGATCTCTAGGACAGGAACTAGTGCAATAGTTTACCTTCTGAATTCTGACAAATAAAGGACATGTGAAAGGCTCACCAGCTTGATGGAAGGAGCAACACCAACCAAACAGCTTTTGCAATTAAGAGGTTTGGGTCTCCACATACCCCAAAGCAAAAAGAAACAACTCCTAGCCCCATAATGCTAATTTCAAAAGGTTTCTTCTCTGTTTAAGATATTTGACATGTGAGAGTTTAGTTACAACCAGTAATTGTAGAGGGCTGCAATACACATGGAAAAGCAGAGTGTACAGGTCTGGAAAGCAAAAGATAAAATGCTCAAAAATGCGTGTAATATAATACTGCACAAGAGTCTGATGTTTTCACCTTCTAGCATATAAAAAGTTGTCAAATTACAGTGTTTAAACCCTTACCAGTATGTACTGTAACTACTGCAATCCATACACACAGTATGCTGAACTTTCTCCTGTTTTTCTGTTTTCTTATGATTGGTCATAGGAATCTGTGCATCTTCATAATGCTTTTTTGCATGGCCATTCACATATCTAAAATAAATGTAAAAGAAAGACGTTTATACTTCTGAAGAGCTAATAAATTTTTTTTCATTAAAAAAACAGGAATAAAAAAGGCATCCAATATTTACAACAGCATTAAAAAGACAATTGATTTGTGTGAAAACACTGGCCAAGTCTTCTACTGTTTTCCCCCTTTACTCCCTCCTGAGGTCCAAACTGGCCCCTCCATCTCCTTGACCAAATCCCAGGATCTGTGCTCCTAACAGATTAATGCACTTCCACAACAGAGAAAATCCTGCACCCCCTTTTCCCACACCTGTAGTGCCCTCAGTTCTCTGTACTGCCTTCACATACACTCCTCTTACAGCTCTACCTTTTCTCCCCCAGCACTTGTATTTGGGATCCCTTTAACAGAGAGCTGGCTCCCATTTTCAGCTTTCCCACTCCGCAGCATGATTCAACGTTACAGACATCAAGTTCATGAACTTGGGCTCTGCAGCTTGTTGTTACATAAGGGAATAAGAAATCTAAAATCCTGCAGCTCTTTTGCTGACACAATGAGCATTTTCATGCTCAAAGTTTGATATACAGGAAATTAAGCACCTTTAATTAAAAATAAAAAAAAGAGCCCTAAGGTGTATTTTATTTTCTCATTCAATTATTTTCCATTCTCAGGATGGGAGCTGTTTGGAAAGGCAAAAAAACCCTGCATAAATAACTGACTCAATATCTACCAACTGCACATAAGAAAGGCTATTTGGAGACAGTAGTAATTTTTTTAAGATCAGTAACAATTAAAATATTCCAATTATTTATTGCACATCATGAAGTATCTCCCCCTCTCTTAGCTCCTGCCAAGTATAAATTTATTAAATAAGTAAACAGAGGGGGAAAAAGGGTCAGTGTCAAAAACTCTTAATAGGACACATTATTAAACCTGTAGCACTTACTGATTCCCAGATCAAAAAACCAAAACCTGGAGTGTTATTCAAACCACTTTAAAAGACGAAATCACTATGTTTAATGAAGCTTTCCCAGAATAACAGCACACCAGCATAGATGTTACCCAACAGAAGAAATCATGTTCACACCTCAGATACTGCCTAAATGTCAATACTAACTGCATTCCAGTAATATGTGCATCTCAAACATTTATGTAGCAGCACACTTTCTACAATTATCCTGACATATAAATAACAGCATTGACTATATAATTCCTCCACAATTTATTTGGTGTACTTCAACTAATACAGACATCAAGGTGAAGTCAGAAGGAATTCCGATGGCAGCTGCTCCTTACATGCTATGGCAATAACTTTAGGTCCAAAACTACCCTGCAGTACATTTAAGCTATTTTCAGTCTCAGCTAAATAGTTGCAGTTTCTCTCAAAATAAGCTGTGCCAACTTGTGGCTTTGCAACAACTCTTATTATGTTCATCTTATCACAAATGAAACATCTTCCACAGAATGGAACAATACAATAACCTACCAAACTATCAGTTCTCCACACACTTTTGGAACTGAGCAATCAAATTTACTGCCCATTTTACTTTAAAAACCCAATTAAATAAACCCCCCATATCTTGAATATAATCTCTGGACTCTCCTAAAGTAGCAAAGAACCATGTTAAGCATAAACATACAATGTTAGAGGTTTATTTCAAGGAAATTTTGAACCAACTGCCTCAGAGTGAAACAACAAAGGAGAAAGACAAAGGTGTGATTAGATTTGCACACTAACACTGTACCCACCTTCCACAATGGACACTCGAACACGTCAGACAGACCCAGGGACTTTTATTTGACCGGCACACTAGAAAAGATTTAAAAAAAAAAAAAAAGTGTCAAACAAATGAAGTCTACTTGATTTTAAAACACAATATCAGGACGACAAAAACATGGCAAACCTTCCAATTTTTTCTTTTGAACACAGGATAAAAAGCTACGGCACTTCTGTTTCATAAAACTTGTTCTACAAGAAACCATTTTACAGGAGATCTTGCAAGAAGCATGGCAATCTGATAAGGCAGCACACAGAATAAATTACTGGGCAATGCATGCTAATACAGACCATTTATACCAGGTGAATTCCTACACTGCAGTGCTGATACAGAATTTATCCAAAATGACTTCATCCTCAGTCCTGCACAAGCAGCTGAAAGGTTAAAATGTAACGCCAGTGCTGTGCTTCACAATCTACTCAGGACACCAGAAGATGTTATCTAAGTTTTTTGCTGTCACATTTTAAATCTAGAAAATTTAAAATATGGATATTTTAAGCTAAAGGGCTTAAACAAAAAAAAACCCACCAAAAACCAAAAAACAACCCCTTCCCCCCCCTCCCCCCCCCAAAAAAGGCAAACACTAAAAAACGATGGCCATCCCAGGGTAGGGCCATAGAAATGGGATATTCCAACTCTAATTCCAACCCAGCAGGTCACTGAAAGAGGGCTACGAAATACAACACTTAGATTGGAATGAAATAAAATTGTTAACAACTATCCATTACCACAGAATTTACAAAAATAATATTACACTTCCAAATACCTGACTAATATTGTGAGAAAATTAAAATAAAATGCTAAGTGCGCTGCTACAAGGCCAGAAAACAAAAATAAAATACAACTTCGATTATCCCCAAAATACAAAAGTGTATGATACCACACCCTTAAATTTTACACATCATAAATTTCTGCTGCTTGGAACAGCCAGTGAAGAGAGTCACAGAGGAAAGAAAAGGCATTGGGAACTTGAGGGTCTGTGAGGCCCGGGGGTAGAAAGACAAAGAGAAGAGGACTGACCCTGGCTGTACAGTAAATGACTTATATTGTTATTCATTGTGGGAAAGGTTGAGAACAGCCCTCCCTTTCTGGAGTCACACCTCAAAACAAGAACTGAAGCAGCACCGAGGCTGCTCCAGGATGGGATCATCTGAGCAGGCTAATGCAGGACTTGCAGCAAAACCCAAAATACAGCTCACCAAGCTACAAACCACAGTACATAGTCTTGGATCTCAACAGTTTACTATCAGAGAAAACCAAGCTAAGAAAAGTGCTTTCTTTATCAAATTAAATGCTCATTTTTAATGGAAAGGGTCAATTTTGATTCAACAGAGAACTGGTAAGCTTAGCTATTTAGAAGAGCTAATACATTTTTCCACTACCAGATTTTACCTTTTTGATTTAAATCTGGTGGGGAAAAAAAGAGTACACTGCTTTTTAAACTACTTTTTTCTGCCTTTGACTTTATTATTACAAATAGCTGCTGCATTTCGATTCAAAAGCTAAAAAAACAAGGCACGTTTAAAATGAGAATGTTGCAGTGTTACATGGGGGGAAAGGCACGTTCTCCAGAAATATTTCATGAAGTTCTCCTTCAGCTACTTTACTGGAGAAACAGATTTTCTCACAGATCTCAGTTATCTGGCATTGGTTCTGCAAAACCCAATTTTTCTATTTCTAAAGCTGCTTATTCCCACAGCTGTGATGGTCATCTTGCAATAGAGAGAGGGCAGCCAGGTAGAGTTGTTTTGGTTTACATTTCAACTCAGGAACATGGAAGAAGTTTGTCTAATTTGACCAAAACATTACCAAGAAACCCAAAATTTAACACTGGCAAACAGAAGAGAAAGGGAAGATCTTAAAACAGCTATGACCAATTAAAAATGAGCTAAAGGAACCACTGGTCTACCCTGATACAATATTATTTGCTTGAATTTACAAACAGCAATGTAAAATATTAAACAGAAGGAAAGAAAAAGAAGCCAAAACCATTCATGCACTTAACTGGTGTTTAAGTGCTGTTTGAAGAAAGCACTACTTTACACTTTCCATGCCAGGAACATAAAAAAGGTCATCCTAGGATTAAAATCCTAGCAGAAATTTCCCACTGTGAAATAACATGTTTGCTTTCACTATGTTATCATCTATGCATGGAACTGGTTCTCAACCAGTAGGTCAAAGCATTATAATGGAAACTATTACTCCTACTTTCCACCCCTACCAGACAATTACCATTTCATATTCAGGTACTTTAAATACCTGTACTGCTTGTTTGTCAAGTGTTAAATTATACTGGAGGAGTGCTCATTCTACAGGTTTGAATGTTCTGAACAAAGCCAGCAAACAAGTCTGACTTCTGCATAAAACCAAACAAAAACTGCATACACTAAAATTTTCCATCTTTCCTATCAGGGAATAGGAAAAGATGGTTCATTTGTTTACTTTAACTTTTAGGAAGAACTTCGTCCCAATTGCATCACATCAGAAATGTGTAGTTTATCTTCTGCACAAACATCTCCACCCACAATGAACTCACACCACATGGAAGTGACTCCCACTAAGATTAAACACAGAATCCAGAGTTAAATCTGTGACCTCCAATTGCTCTGTTCTCAGAGAATTACACAACTGACTTTTTTTAAGACATTGCTGGAGATTGCATTCTGTATTTCTCTGAGGCTGGCTCAGCAGATAACTGCATTGAAGCCTGGCTCTCCAGGCATTCCTCAGTTCAGATCCTGAAGCAGTTACCATCTTCCTACTTCATAAATTAAATTAGACTGGAAGTTTCAGGCATTACTTAGGACTTTATCAAGACAGGCACTATGGAACGCACAGCAAAATCAGTCACTGTCCAGAACTACTCATAATCTAAACTAGAGGTAGACGGTTTGGCTTCATGTATAAAGACACTGCACATTATTCCTTTCAGATGGGGCACTGACATGAATACAGTAAGCTTCAAAGTAGGCCAGAAGTGAGAGAGAGTGATCCACAGCAAACCCCTTTTCAATTTGAAGAACATTACACAGCCCTGGAAGATGACCCCTAAAACAGATTTGGGTGTTCTGGACTTTCAGGTCACACACACTAAATCATGAGGAACTATTTTCATTTGTATAGGTACCAATATATTGGCTCCATAATCAGTTTTCCAATTGTGATTTGGAGGTTTGATTTGTTTTTCTTTAAGCACTATTTTAAAAAGAGAGGGGAGCATTACATTAGCATCCCTTACTTTGGATTAAAGTTATGTACACACACTGTAACCCCATTAAAAAAATTATCTGTCTTATTTAGTGGTTATACAGACCAAGGCTGCTTTCTCAGCTTGGACAAAAGTTTGGCTACTGAAACAGTTAACAACTGCCTCAATTTGCTGTATTTTTAGAATAAATTCAAGTGGTCAGGCAAAGACGACACTAACGCGTCAAAAGAAAAGGGAAAGCAAAGCTGAAATGCCACAATCTTAACTGAGGCTATTTGCCACCTTACATCAAAATCATCTTAATTCAGAAACTCAGAAACACAATTTTTTATCATGTAATAGGAAGAATTCTTTTACAGAATGATTTCTCTGAGTAAAACCTGAATACTGATGTGTTACACAGTCTGCAAAGCCCTCTCTAATCCATCCTCAGGAGAGTAAAGACTCATACATAACTTGGAGAACACTCAGACATCCATGCAGCTTGCACTTTTTGCAAATCACCCAGGTAAGGTTCAGTGAGTTATGCCAAACAGAATGAACAGGATAAGGCTAATCAATTTGGTGTTCTGTCACCACAGGGTCCCGACTCCATCCTACCCCCATTATTATGCAAATATGTACTTTTCGTGCTTGAGTTTTTTTCCTTATTGAAAACTGACTCCAAGCACACTTGTGTGAAGCATGACTGCTCCTGGCAAACACTGCATTTCTTACACAGCAAAGATGCAGACTGTCACTGAAGGAAAGTTACAGCTATGTAAAAATATACAACAGACCTGTGGAATGAATGGGTTTGTTTAAACAGCACACTGCATAGCTGTAAAACTGGTAATAGAAAAAAGCAGCAGGAAAGGGAAGAGACACACAGGAAGCAGTTTCTGTAAAGCAGCCAAGTTCAGAAACCTGCAAGATGCAGTGTCTGCCAGAGATGTGGCAGCAGCTCAGCCATGGGATGAACACAGCGTGAGTGACCCCGGGCCAGGGCTGCTACAGAGCTGTGCTTACAGCCAGGGTTTAAAATAGCCCCTCACTGCTGCACTAAAGAAAAGGTCACCAAGTATCAGCACATTAAGAGAAATGCTTTAGCTCTTCTGTTAAAAGCACATTGACTAGAAACAAGATTAGGGTCACTAAACTATTTCCAATAGTCTCCACAGCCTTTACCAGACAGCCTTTGCCAGCCTGGGCTCAGCTCTCAGAAAGCTGTAGCAGCATTCCCATGTTACTGGCCCAATTACAGACCTCAGTAACACAGTGACCTGCACAGAAACATCTCTGGACTAACTGACCTCTGGTCAGTTCACTTTATACTCACACAACGGGTCAGCTATACCAAAACAAGCTAAACTGAATAAAAAAACCCCCACTGTTGCTCCACTCAGGAAGAAGGAACAATATTTACAAACTTGTGGTATCAGTGGTACACTGACACTGTGCTGAGGAAATAATCCCACAAACACAAGCACTTGGTGACAAACACATACCCATGCTACATAAGTACAGCATGCTGTGCCATGTGACACACACGAGCCTATGCAAAAACCCCACAATAATACTGTTAAAAGAGATGGACTGCTTTTCCTTTCCCATACCTTTACCTTAATTTTGCCTTAAAAATCTCTCAGTGTCCTGTTTAATTATGATTTAGTAATGGGACTCCCATTTTGCTCCTTAAAGAACCTGACAATTGCAGCAGAAGAGAGCCGGGCAGACTCCACTAGCAGCAACATGCGAAGGAAAAAGCAGCAACAATCCACACACCAACAGGAGAAACCCCTTCCTGTTAAAACATGAACCTTCTGCTGTGACACATCAGGCCTA